CAGCAACAGCAGCAACTGCAGCAGCGCCAGCAGCAAACGAAAATTCGAAGCAAACAGCAGAGACACAGCAGAAGGAAGATATGCAGACCCCAGCCACGCAGACAGAGACAGACAGCGACACAGACAGTGAAAGCGAGACAAACAAAAACATGCAAAACAAACAAACAAATAAAAAGAAAGACAAAAAAACACAACAAGATATATCCAGAAGACAACAACGCACCGCGCATGCAGAGGAACAGCAAGCAGCACAGGCGGCTGATAGTACCTCCAATACAAAAAGACAGCAGAATGCTGACAGCAGCAGCAGCGGCAGCAGCAGCAGCGGCAGCAGCAGCAGCAGCGGCAGCAGCAGCAGGGAGGATAGAGAAACCGCTCACGCAGCAGGTCCATCGAAGTCAGATTCCACAGACAGTGCTGACTTCCGTCGAGAAGCACCATCAGCAGCAGCAGCAGCAGCAGCAGCAGCAGGAGAAGCAGCAGCAGCAGAAGACGCAGCAAAGTCTGAAAAGCCCGAAGGCAAGAACATTCGAATGAGCGGCATAGAAGAAATAGCAGGCATAACAAGCAACATAGACGTGGAGGCCCTCATCCGCAAGCGCAAGAGGGAGCAGCAGATGGAAGCTGAAGCAGCAGCAGCAGCAGCAGCAGCTGCTGCTGCTGCTGCAGAAGAGCAGGTACCTCATACACACACCTGTCCATACACCGCGTGCTGCGTGAAACCTTAATATATGCGTTACTAGAATTTTTTAACAATGAATATGCAAATAGAGAACAATGAAATAAATACTACTATCCAGGAGGGCAGGAGGACGTGGGTTTCATGCGAGCTGCAGTGTACATACACTGCAATACTTTAACTTTTTATTTTTATTTTTTTTTCTGTGTTTTCTTCAGGATGACTTTGATATGTTTGGCGCGGCAGATTGAACAGAGATGCCGCCTCAGCCGCTTTTTTCTCACCCGCAACAAATAAACAATATGTAGTTATCTTCGACTTTCCTAGGTGCTGCAGCGGCAGCAGCAGCTGCTGCTGCTGCTGCCCCCGCTGCTGCACCTACGACTGCAGGGACTGCTAATGTTGCAGCTCCAGCAGCAGTTGCTGCTGCTGCGGTAGGCAACGCCCAACTGCTGCTGGCGCGGTTGGATAGCTAGTTGCCTAACCTACTGCCTCTGGCTAGCTAGCTGTATAGCTAGCTATGTCGCTAGCTAGCCAGCTTGAGCCTGATAAGAGTGCAGGTTTCTGGTAAGGCAGTGAGTGCTCGTTGGTGTTTTTGAATCTGAATTTGTCTTCTTCGTTTTTATTTTGTCGGATTGTCTCTCCCCCACAACTGCGTGCAAAGGGAAAGTGCATACAGTGCATTGATGTACATACACCTCAGCACAGCTCGCCAGATCAGGAGGCGCAGTGCTGCGTACTGCCACAGTTACAGTTCACTCTATACACTGCACACCGACACGGAGCCTGAGAGGTGTAGAAGAAACAGAGAGCACAGAGGACGTGCTGCGACCCCCGCTCCTCCTGTTTATGTTGTCTATATCCAGAAGAATGCATGCTCTGCATGCAGCAGCAAGGGCGAGGTGGAAACCATCTCTTCAGCCCCCTCTTGCTGTGCCTCTACAGTGGTTTGTCTTCACCGATATATTATGCG